TGTGATGTACAATTAAATAAAGATTAATATATCATACATCCTTTAAATGAAGATTAAATGCAAAAATTTATTTTAAATTGTAAAACAATTTCGACTAAATAGAATAATATGTATAAATCTAACAATAAAAATCTCATTTTTATTGTTAGTTACCGTACATCTGAGAACACACGAAATATTTGAAATATTCATGAGTAAATATGTGTGAGTAATGAATCTAAGAAATAAAGGATAAAACGTGCAATACAACCTATTAATCCTTAGTATATTCTTTAGTTTTAGGCAACCTTATGTAATTCGCGTTCGTAGATATCTAATTGCTATTAATTAATGCGCCATCCGGAGCGACTCGTAAGTACGTCCACCTCCCTCCGAGATCGCCGAGCGAATGCCGAAGTGATGACGTATCAACCACCGCGGCGCACGGTTCCCCCTCCCTATTCCTCGCGTTACCTTTCCCCTCGCTGCTCGCTGTATGCCAGGTGCCGTTCGAACTCTACTATTAGTATGAAAAATATTCACAAATATTTATTCAATTATTCGTATTTTACATGATTTTGACAAACTGATGAACCGCCGTAGATTTCGCGTTTTGCTTTCTGGCATCGCTGGCACAATCCTACATTACTTGCATGGTTCTTTTAAACGTAATTAGTAATTATTCTCATGGATTTTTAATATTATAACATTATGTCTCAATTTTCATTGTTAATTACATTGTTAGTTGACAAAAGTTTTTTATACAAAAATGTATAACTCTGAAACATAAATGTTTAAAATATGTTTCAATATCTTAAAGTATGGCATTCAAAACTACAAAAGAATAAATCATTCAAGTGTTGAATGTCAACTTTAATTGAAACATATTCAGGGTTGAATAAGTTAACGTTTTTTTTAAATTAAATTAAAATTAATGGTTTATAAATTTTTAATTTAAAAAAAGTTAATAAATTAAAGTTTAAAAATAACTAAATGAAGTTAAAATGCATTTAAAATGAACTAAATTAAGTTAAAAGTTATTAATACCAAAAAAATTTTATTAACTATATTTAGTTACAATAGTTTATATACAATTTGTTAAATATACAATTTCACAAATTCTTGTTAAAGTTGCCAAATATTATATGTAAAAATCGCTTAATAATTTCTATCTGTTTATGAAACGATGAAAATTGAAGTATATATTTTAAATAAAAAGTTAAAAGAGTTAGAATTCATTACTTTAAATGACTACATTTCTGACTTATTTCTAATTTTTTAAATAATTTAAAGTTTCCGGAACCTATTTTATATACTTTATTTTAAATAATTCGTATGTTATTTTATCGAAGCGTGATCATACATACGTTTAAAGAATTTCTGAAACACAGAATAATTTGCAGTAATAGTAGTATTAAATTAATTTATTAATTGAAAAATTAACAATTAACAAGATATTTACTTTTATCTGTATTTAGCACAAATTGTTCCACGCTATTAAGAAAATTTGCATGTATGTATCTTTATATGTACAGAATATATGTATATAGAATATTTTATCAATTCTTAAGAATAATTATTAAAAAAAACAATGAAAACTGAGACATAATATTGCAATATTAAAAATACTTCATGAGAATAATTACTAATTACGTTTAAAAGAACCATGCAAGTAATGTAGGATTGTGCCAGCGATGCCAGAAAGCAAAACGCGAAATCTACGGCGGTTCATCAGTTTGTCAAAATCATGTAAAATACGAATAATTGAATAAACTGTGAATATTTTTCATACTAATAGTAGGGTTCGAACGGCGCCTGGCGTACAGCGAGCAGCGAGGGGAAAGGTAACGCGAGGAATAGGGAGGGGGAACCGTGCGCCGCGGTGGTTGATACGTCATCACTTCGGCATTCGCTCGGCGATCTCGGAGGGAGGTGGACGTACTTACGAGTCGCTCCGGATGGCGCATTAATTAATAGCAATTAGATATCTACGAACGCGAATTACATAAGGTTGCCTAAAACTAAAGAATATACTAAGGATTAATAGGTTGTATTGCACGTTTTATCCTTTATTTCTTAGATTCATTACTCACACATATTTACTCATGAATATTTCAAATATTTCGTGTGTTCTCAGATGTACGGTAACTAACAATAAAAATGAGATTTTTATTGTTAGATTTATACATATTATTCTATTTAGTCGAAATTGTTTTACAATTTAAAATAAATTTTTGCATTTAATCTTCATTTAAAGGATGTATGATATATTAATCTTTATTTAATTGTACATCACAAAAAAGTGCAATCAAAATTGAGATATAATATTGGAATGTTAAAAGCATTTCACGTGAGCAATTATGTAAGAAAAACCACGTTAATAAGAATCTCTTTTTACTTCTTGCCTTTTGTCAGCACATTATAATTGATACGAAATATTTAAACTCGCGCCGCTAAAACTAGACATAATTGTTTTATTAACCGAAGAACATTAAAAATGTAAAGAATATACTTATGAATATACGTTTTACTTATTCGTAATATTCGTTATTATTTCGAAAGTTAGACGGTTGGCGCGTGACCTTGAGGCGTGGATGATACGGGGTGGCACGGAGTGGCACGGAGCGGCGCGTCATGTTTACGTTTACGCGTAGTTACGACGCAGTCATTCCTTTATCGAAATTCGTAGAAACAGGTAGTCGCATGCGGCTCTTTTATATTACTTTTTAAAATCTTATCGCGAAGAATGCCAAATATAATACGTTGTACTTTATGAATAATTAATCATACTAATAATCGTATTATGTGAATATTCATAAAATACAACATTTCATATTATATTTAGCACTTTTTTGCGATTATATGTTTTAAAAAGAAATATGAAGAAGAGCGGCACGCGATACGACTACTTTGTCTATACGAACGGTACAGACAAAGTAATCGTCATACGAGTTATAAAAAAATAACGTTAATATGAATAATACTCTCATACAAATAACGCAATTCCGGCTTTCAGAATTAATATAGTTTAATAATTTAATTATTTTTTTGTTTTTGTGCACCTTCTGTTACATGATCCGTTTAAAAATTAAACGTAACTCTTTGGAACTATTATTGGCGATGTAATAATCTCTTTTTTTCTTAAATAGCTCAATTCATTGACTCTATCTTACAGATATCATCTATAAATAAAAGACTCAACTCTTTTATCTACATAATAGCTATATATTACATTTTTCAGATTATCTTCCCTCTCACGGGTATAACTTTGACGTGATGGGAGGGCTCAGTACGCAGAGGATCCAATGGGGGAGTTAACGTACCCTCGTCGCCGATTTATTTGAAAATGTACGAACCGTAGCCGGTTCGTCGCGTCGCGCGTTTGCATCGGGAGTGCCGTTTAAGTTATCGGACTCTCAAGTTATAGTCCACGCGCGATTATAGTGTATTTTTCGCGAGTGTCCTGTGCGAGAGGATGTCAACCCTATTCTGAGAGGAGGAGGAGACCTGGAAGACGCATCAGCGGAGCAATCTTGCGGTAAATATTATTTTTTCTTGTATAAAATTAATCTTTTTTTGATTATTTTTAAGTCATTTTATTTGACAATAAATAATTTAAAAATGATTATTTTAAATCATTGTTAAATAAAATGATGATTTGAATAATTATATATTCTATAAAA